CGGCTGCCTTGTGAACACAGAGACCCTGGAGGGAGCTGGAGCTGCTGGGCAGACAGAGGCTAAGGGCCTAAGAACAGCATCAAAGCTCAGGTCTGCTGGAGGATTTACGTGTCTTCTGGAGACAGAACTTCTCTGGCACTCGGTGGCACCAGACTGGCTCCCCAGCCAGGGATGTGGTCTGATCCCCCACACCTCTGCACCCCCTCCAGTACAAGCCACCCCCCGGTTCCCCAGGGCATGCCTCCAGCATGGCTTCAACGACGAGGGACAGAGCCAGCGCCGGGACTCACCTGGCAGCCGGAGGTTGACCACTCTGTCAAACAAGTTCCTTTCGGCTGTCACACGGGTCAGCACCTGGTTCAAGAGCTGTGAAGGGAAAAGCAGAGAAGGTTTGTATTTTCTGCATGGCCCTTCCTGTGAGCAGCACCCAAAGGGTGTGCGTTGGGGCAGCATGTCCTTATAGCCCAGGTGCGGTGCCTGGGAGCTGGTGGATGCACACAGGGAGGCTGGCAGCGCAGCCCCAGCTTGGCCCTGGCACACAGGGAGGTGGCACCACACCACAGGCATTGTACCAGACCCAGACTTCCCAGGGAAGAGCCGGTCTGAGGTCAAGACACCTGAATCTCAGCATCTTCCACCTAAATTGGAATCCCACCTACAGCTGCCAAGCTGTGGCTAAAAGCCCTTGGCAAGCAGCAGCTACAGTCCCTGGGACAGCCCCGGCCCATGAAGAGCGAGCCAGCAGCTGCTGCTGGGCACAAGCAGCATCAGCAGTGCAGCACAGCCCAGGTCCTGCCTGGAGCTGGCAGCAGAACGGACCTACCCTCCCTGCAGCACAGGCAATTCACTTCCCTGCTTGACAGAGCATCACTGCAGGCAGGGATTTCTGCCTAAAACCAGCACAGAAGGAAACACCTGTAAAGACACTTAATTAGCCACCATTAGCTCCCATCCAAACCCCCAGTGGGATGAGTGAGGACTGCCCCAGGCTTGACACAACCGGTGCAAGCTGTGCACCAGCTCTCAGACACAACATCCCTCTTGTCACCCTCACGCATGAAGAGCAGAACTATGCACCCCTCTGCGCATACAGCAGTACAGCTTTGTTGGCAGCACCAGGACCCAGGGGGGATGCTGCAGCACCTTGCACTCCTCTGGCTATTCCCCAGCTTTCCCAAACCACTCGCTGAGGGCCCCTTGCCTTCCTCCTCACACAGGGAAAATCCCAGGATCCCAGGCTGAGCACCTCCTTCAAGATTGCTGTGCTAGACCCCGCTGTGTCTTGCTTTGTCTCATCTGCTCCGAGCCCTGAGCATCAGCCTGTGGAGCAACCCAGCCCTGGGGGTATAGGTGAGGTATTATACGACTGTTCTCCCCCAGGCTGGCTCACACAAGAGCAGCCGCATGTCCTCAGGGCTTTCCAGGGTTGCTCATGCTTTAGAATAGAAACTAATTTATCAGAGTCTCAGGGCTGTTGTGGGCTGGAACGGGGCTGTCCCAGTCACTCTGGCAGGGAAGTGGAGAGGTTTGGTACCCTAGTCTAGGACTGAGGGGCAAAGGAGCAAGCTGCCTGCCCAAACACTGAGGCATGTTCCCCGTGAAGCCAGCTATACTCTCTACAGTTCTTGCTAAGGTGTACCACCTCCTCTCCGGATTTCATGGCACTGCTTCTCACAGGAGCATTCAGCATTTACTGGGTGGAAGAACGTGGCCACAGTCCCTCTGAAGGAAGATATAAGGGGCTGTCATCCTCCCTCCTGGCAGAGGTAGAAACCAGCTGCAGCCAGGCTAGTTGCAAAGGAAGGGAGCAGTTGCCATGTAGTGATTTTGGGGAGCAGAACTTGTTCTGCAGCTGCTGGGTTTGCCATAGCAGCTTTAAGTACTCCAGTGTTTGCAGGAGGAGCCCCCACTTCCCAGCACATCTAGAGAGAGGGCAGAGGACCCCCACGTCCCTTCAGAGGACACTTCACACCTCATGAAAGGACGATACCTGGGCGAGCCTCCGCAGCAGCAGCTCCGATGATGGGCGATTCCAGTCGAGAAAGATCTCTGGCGCCAGCGTGACGGTCATTTCCAGCACCCTGAGCAAGCTCACCGACAGGTCAAAGCAGGTTGCACACCCCTTCAGCTGGCGGCTGTCCACAAAGTTCCTCTCCAAGCGCTCTGCTGCCTGCTGGATCTGCCAGGCAACAGAGACAGCTTCATAAGGTGCTCCATCCCAAAAGGAGGGCTGTGACGCCCAGCCCAGCTCAGCTCCCATAAGTGCCAAGGAATCGCTGCTCTCCCAGCCCTGAGTCATGTCTGGAACCTCGCTGCAGGTTGGACACAGGCACCCATCGAGTGTTGGATCCCGCAGCCCCATGCAGCACACTCACCTCCTGAATCATGCCGATGAACTCAGAGAAAGCCCAGTTCAGCTGGTTGAGGACGCTGTTGAGGAAGCTGGGGGCCAGGTCGCGGTCGCCGCGGAGCAGGTCTGCCATGTGCCGCTGCAGCAGGGTGGAGGGACACGGCTCTGAAACCAGACAGTGACAGTGTCAGTGGCCCGCTCCCAGAGTGGCTGCAGACTTGGGGGAGAGGACAGTTATAAGCAGAGGTCCTGCCTGTCGAGCCTCCCAGAACATTTTTGCAATGCCAGTCCGAATTAACCAGGAAAGAGCCCGGCATGCTGGCTGCAGCCCACGTGCACAGGAGCATGCCCTGCAGCTCCACATCCTTCCCGCTCGCCTCTGCCCACTGTCAGCTCGGCATTAATCACTCCCGATAGCAGCATGGCAGTAGCTGGCCGCAGCCAGCCGGCACGTGGCCGCGCCTGCCTGCCCGTGTCCCAGGAGGATGGTACCTGGCTAATCCCACTCCTGAGAAGCTTCTGCGTGGGGCTGGGCTCTGCCCATGGCAGGCTCGGGCAGGAAGGGCTGCCCATGCTCCCCCCCAGCACAGACACATCTCCGCGGTACCTGGCATCTCGTCTCTGGGCTTCTGCACTGTCACGAGCATAGAGGGGGTCAGACCCAGCAGCAGGGAAACACAGAGTTGGGGCTATGTGGGGCACTGGTCCCCAGGGGCAGGCAGGGAAAGGAGGCAGGCGCAAATGGGATGGATGCTTCTCCCTGGGAAGGGTACCAGAGTTCAAACCACAGACCAAAATTCAAGGTTTGGAGAAAGAAACTTGAACACATTTACCAAGTATAAGAAAAAAAAAATCAACTACTTTTCCCTCTACTAGAAGCTGTAAGTAAGAGCGGGTGGAAGCTCGGGCAGCACCAGCACTGCGGTGCCCACAGGAACGTGCTGTACTGTGACCGCAGGTCCCTGGGGGGGCAGCCGGCTCGAAAGGGCAGCGTGGGCAAAGGAAACAGGGGGTGACCTCCATCACATCTCTAGGGATCGAGAAGCAAGGCGTAACTACTGGCAGATCACTAGCTGGGATTAGCAAAGCCAGAGACGGGTGGCAGGAGACCATCAGCTCGAATGGGAAGGGGATAAATTATTCTGTAAATACCCATACAGTGCACAACCACTCCAGGCAGGCCAGAGTCCTGGCTTTGATCTTGCCTAAGAGCACATCTTTGGAGGGATTTCATCATGACAAATGTCTTTGATGTCCTACTCCCACTCGCAAGTACTTTCCCAGCCCTTAGTGACACGTGGCTCGGGGACGGCCCCAGCCAGATGTCCTTCTGCTGTATTCAGTGATCCTCCGCGGACTCCTTGCCCAGTGTCCCCCTGAAACTGTGCAAGCCTTCAGCATTGAACGTGTCCTAGAAAAACATTTCACAGCTCAATGGTTTGCAGCGGGAAGAATTTGGATTTGGGCTTGGCTCCAACTCACTTTATTTGATGGTATTTATTCTTTGTAGCCCCCTCCTTCTGGTGGGAGACACAGAGAGCCGCTGCTCTCCAGTCACTGCCCCCAGCTCGCCACAATTTCAGACCTCTGACAGTGTTTGGAACGGGAACAGCTCCAGCCTGTCCAGCTTCCCATACAGAAACTGTCACATCTTTTTCCCCTTCACCATCCCTGCCCGAGCCTTGCCGGTTCTGCCACATTTTCTTTGGAGCAGTGGAATCAGAAGTGCCCACAGCATCCAAACCACAAGCACGTGGCAGGTTTGCACCAAGGCATAATGTGGTTTGGTTTTGTTCTGCTCTCCTTTCCCCATAACTGCTGTTGGGTAATTTCTTCCTTTGACTGGACATCAAGCTGGTATTTTCCAACAGATTACAACAGGATGACAGTTCCAGGACAACCCTTTTGGAAGAATTACAGTTCAAGATGCTCAGGAACTTGCTGGTCGCAAGGCGCGAGTGGAGAAGCCCAGGAGTCAACACCAGAGCCCACCCTGGTGTCTCCTCTGCCAGCAACGCACGATGGGGCACAGCACGTCCTTACCATGTCTGCAGACAACACTAAACACGGGGCTTTGTCCCATGTGCTAGAGCCACCCTGAGAAACTTGAGGACTGGGACAAAAAAACCTGATCATATTCAACAAGAAGGAGAAAATTTTGCATATGGGGAAGAACGACCCCAGCTGTTAGCCCTGGCTGGGAAACAACAGCCTGGGCACCATCCTGTAAAGGGGTTGTGCAGGATACCAGCCTGAACAGGGCACGGGGAGGGCTTCTGCTACAACCAAGAGGTGGGTGATGGCAGGAGGACGTGCCCAGCAGATCAAGGGAAGGTGCCACCCCTCTGCTCAGCCCTGGGGAGGTCACACCTTAAGTACTGTGGCTCTTTTCTCAGGAGTGTGCATACAGACAGGTCCCAGGGAACCCACCTTGCAATCGTGTCTCAGCTCGCAGCCCAGCGAGTTTTAATCACGTTTTCCTTTTACCACTCTACATCTGGCAATACTGGTATTCTCCCCAGTCATTCAGAATTAGAAGGTCCTTTCGTAGGGTTAAGTTTTTTGTGTCTTCTTTTCCTCAGCCTCCCCTCGATGTGGAAAAAGTGCTTTTTATTAAAACTGCTGACACATTAGCCCCCTTCCAGCCTTCAAGTACCGAAGCAGTTCTAGGCAGGGATCACCACTCCCTGGGGGCGAGCTCTGTGGGTTGTCCTCTTGGTCTGTGGCCAAAGCCTCTTTCACCAACGTTTCAAGTCAGGACAGATCTCAACACGAATCACCCAGCCAAAGCCTATCTCATTTGAAGGCAGCTTTGGCTTTTTGAAGGATGCTTTTATGCTTGTAATAACGTGCTTTATTCTGACTTTTAGCCAATGACTATTTCATCATGGTCTTTTTCCAATAAGTGGTGTGAATTTGCTCCAGATCTCCAATTCTAGGTTCTGAAATGCTTTCCCTGCTGCTGTCAAAGATTCTGCCAGCCTATAAAACCATTAAGAAGTGGTGCCTCTTGTCAAAGTTCTCCACAGTTACGTAGTTGTTTTTAAGGTTTTAACCAAACACCAGGAAACAGTGGATTTCCTTGGCTTTTGTTGCTCCCAAGAGGAATCTAAAGATGCTGCAATCACTGCTACTCTTTGAAAGCAACATCAGGAACCAACCCCGGGTTACAGCAAGAGCAGCTTTGTCCCTTGCACGAGTTCTCAGATCAGGTTCTCCATGGGGCAATCACTAGTGGTATGTAGAAACCTAGCCCTGGTGCTGCGTTCATCTTAATTTGCAGGAAGTTCATCTTTGCTGAAGCATTTCCACCCACCTCCCTCACCTCTCAGTCCCCACTGCCACCCTGGGTGACGACACAGCCCCCACATGTCCCGTTTCAGACAGGGACATCACTTTATAGGCCGCCTGGGGATCCCCACTGATGTGGTTACCTTCTTGATCTTGGCAACAGTGTGTCATTAGTGTTCCTAAAACTTGTAACTCCTTAATACAAAAGCCACTCAATCTTGGCTTTGCCTTCATTATGACAGATAAAGATCAGTCATCGGAACAGAAATTGGTGGTTTTCTGAGGCCAGAAATTATGACCTCAATACATTTAATGTGGGCAACAGAGCGTGGCCCCAAGTGGTTATAGATATATCTGATGCTTCCACAACAGAAACTTATCCACAAAAATATAAGCAAAATAGTCAGAAGGGAGAAAAAAAAATCTAGGTGGGGGGAAAATAGTGAACGAAACCACAGAGTTCTTTAAGAAGACTATTAGGCAGCCAGAAGGACCCAGTGTTATAGCAAACACTTGGGTTAAAAGGTTCACTGAGCCCAGGATGAAGCAAAGACATAAGTTAAAATGGAAAAGGCAAAGTGAACATAATCCAACACGGGCAGCAGGGGATGAAAGCAAGGAGAAAAGGGGTAATAGATGGAGAAGACATAAAAGCAACATCCACAACTCAACTGGCTACACAAAAAGTTTCTTCAGCTATAGGAAAAAAACTCTAACAGTGTTATTAAAAAAAAGCAGTTATGGGAGAAAGTCTAACTGCAGAGGCCCATTAATAGACAGAGTTAAAAATTAATAAAGCAAACAAAGTGGAAGCCTTCAATAAGTGCTCCTGCTAGTTAACTGTAAAGAAGTAGGGTCATGTACTTTCATTACAGGAAGATAATTATGTACTTTAGAGTTTGCTAATAGCTCAGGGAGATTTATAACAGGGCTGCTTGTGAGACTTCTTGGCCAACAGCCCAAGAGGGGCTTTGGATGCTGCAGCATTTACAGCAGAGCTGGGAGCACAGAGGAGGAAAGCCCCAAATGGGCCAGATTCAGAGGCAAGGCAGTTCCCCCCAATGCTAATCTGAGCTTTTGAAAGGATTTGGATGTTGATGTGACACAGCTGCTGCTCAGGGGCTGTCAACTGATGGGATAGCAGTGAAAAAGGCAAGCTGGAGGTGCAGCCATCCACGTCACCGGTAAACTGCGCCTGGTCAAAGATGTATGTAGAGAGGACAAAAGGGAATGTTGCAGTGGGAGGCAGAAGGAAAGTAAGCAGTGTTTACGAGATGAGGTGTCAATAAGGTTGGGTGCAAGGCATCAGGACACCCCAGCGCGTGCCTGGGACTCGCGCATGCCTCCAAAGCAAAGTGCTGGCAAACAGGCTAATGCGAGTTTTGGCTCCGTGATCGGCAGATCGGGGAGGTGTTCTAGCCAGCATGACACTGGCACCTCTGGGGCTGCGAAAACCACGGGAAGGGTGAACGCTGATGCTCACAGAAAAGCAGAACCCCTTCCTGACTAAGACTCAGTGGCTGCACTTTCTTTTCACTATTAAAAAGGACCAAGAAGTGAGTTTACCCTGGTACACAAGCACATTTGAAGAATAAAATGTTGTAATGCACAGAGTTCAACCTGGCAGAGAAAGGCAGAGCAGCAGCAGTGGCAGACAGAAGATGAGATGGGTACATTCCCATCAGGAAAAGGTGATGGATTTATTTCTGAGGGTGAGGAAGCACCATCAGAAGAGCTTGGACAGTTCAACTGTGACCAGCTGATACTTTTGGCGTTGTCAGATCGAGACAGGATTTCTTCCTGACAGCCCCCTTTAGCTTAGGCAACTTGCTGGGCTTGGGAAGGGGAGGCGGGTGAATTCTCTGGCCCACGTTGCACAACAGCCCATCTGGATGATCTCATGGTCCCATCCACCCACCCTGCGCTGCCTGACGATGCACGGGCAGGAGGCCTGGGGCAGAGGAGCCCCGTGCTGCACCCTGAAGCCACCCTGCAGCTCGGTGCAGGCTGGGCCTGGCACGGGGCCACCACTGCTGCTCACTGTGTGCGTGTCCCAACAGCACCCGGCCTCGCCTACCAGCCACCATGAGAGCAAAACAACAGCAGCCACCCGCCAGAACTGTCCCTGCCTCTGCACAGAGCCCTCGCCTGCCCTCAGGAGCCAGACTGGAGGCAGAGCAGACGCCAGCATAGCTCCATCACCTGGGCAGAGTCCTCCCAGGAGGCGTCCCCAAAGCAGGACAAGGCTGGAGCACCAGAGACGAGGGGTTTGCCCAAGCTCCCTTCAGCCTGGCCTGCAGAAGCAGACCCAGACAAACAAGGATTTCCTTCAGCTCAGCAGTTTTTCCCCTTGTCCCTGCCAATGGTCAGATTACAACTAGGTGAAGACTGATGAGTGGGAAGGCGGGGGGGTCACCTCCTCCTCCTTCCCTGGGCAGCATCTCAAGGACACCTCTGAATCCCATGTCCCTCTTCAATTAAATCAGCATTCATTATTGATTTGGTTGCTCCTTAAAATAGTAATCCCAGGAGCACATCCCCAGTAGCCAGCCCAGCCCGCTCTGGGCTCAGACTGGCCGGAGCCACTCGGGGATGGCTGGAGGGAGCCCTCGGAAGCTGAGGAACTCTGCTCCTGCCCCAGGGCTCCCCAGGATGGGGGGAGCTCAGTCGCCACCCCATGGGATGGTGGCAGCCACTTGAGGGCTTGCTCCTGCGGTAGGATGGTCAGGGGACAGTCACGAGGTCTCTCCTGCATCCCATCGCCCTCCACAGATGAGGTGGCAGCAGGGCTCCAACCCCTGGGGTCACCCCAAGAAAACTGGTGGAAGAGGGGGTCCACGATGCAGCCCCCAAGACTGCTGTCTGGGCAGCAGTCCCACTGGCATCTCCCAGGGACGTAACTGGGAAATGCAATAATCGTGTGCAGCCCTCTGCCCCCCAAAGAAGGGTGTCTCTAGGCAGAGGAGGGGAAGGAGGGAGCTCTCTAAAGCTACTTCACCAGACAAGAGAGGGTCACACAACAAACTTACTCTGGAAACTAGCAACAGAGAGATCTCCTGGGCACCCACAGGCAGGAGAGAGAAAGAGAACGAGAGTGCTGTTAAACACAGCCAGGCAGCTCTCCCTGCCGGCCGGGGATCAGCGTGCACCTCCACATGCCACTGGCCCATGTCAGGCTCTGTCCCCCATCCCCGGGCAGCTCTCCAGGGGCAAGGGCTGGCAAAAAGCCTTTTCCACAGCAGAGGGGGTCAGGAATGTATCTAGACAGGCCCAGCCCCTGCCAGGGTGAAGCTGGGGACATGTTCTTCAGCTCAAGAACGGCACCTTTTCCTCCCCACATCCTTCTCAGCCGCCACAGAGCCAAGGAACCCCTCAGTTTAGCAACAGTGCTGAGAAACAAATTGTCATGCCAAAGGCAGGACAGGCTCTGCTGGGCTTGGAGATGCCTGATTAAAAGACACTCTGCTTGCAAACTTGCCCAGTGCCCTGCCTCCTCGGGCCCCCGCTGCCCCTCACAGGGTCACCACTGCTTGGCGTACTTGCCAGCTCCTCCCCACAGCAGCTGCTCGCTGTGGACATCATAGAGTCTTCTCCCAAGCTTGTATTTTTGGGGTAAAGCTCTGGTGAGGGTCTCTCACCTCTCCTTTGAAGGGCAGAACCCCTCCACGTGATGGATCTAACCCACCAGCCAGCATCCAAAAGAGTCACCAGCCAGTGCAGAGAGACTGGGGATGTCCAGGAAAGAAAACGCTGGCTGCAATGATCAGACCTGGATATTTGGCCAGGACTCCCTACTTCAGCAGCCATCTCACCAGCTGGTCTGGCACCCAGCAGAGACAGCTGCTAGGGAGGCGGCCAGTCCTCCCTCACCACCCGCCATAATCCCAAGCCCCAGCCCCCTGCCCCACTCACTCTGCAGGCTAGGAAGGCTGGCATCCTCAGGCTTGGTTTTCAGCAGGTGTGGGAGTCGTGTGTATCTGTACCCGAAGCCACAGCCCTGGTAAAAGAGATAAGGAAAGATCTTAGAGGTTGGAAAACAGCTGGGTTTTGCTGCTACTGGAAAGTGAAATGCTCAGTGTCCAACCAGCTCCAGATGTTGAGAGGGGCAAGGATGCACGATGCTCACTTAGCCTGACAAGGATCCAGTTGGTCTGTGCCCAAGGTCGCTGCTCATAGGGAGCCAGGAGGTTCTTCATCATGGAGATCCGCCTGCCCGATGAAAGACACAGGTCAGCCACAAAGGGGTTGGGGCAGGGGATTAAATAGGACCCCTGGTAGGACCGTGGAGCTGGGACAGAGCAAAGCCACTGGTATAAGGGTGACAGGAGGCTCCCCAAACCAGCCCCAGCACCCTGCAACAGCTCCTGGACCCTCAGCGGTGCCTGGCAGCCTGCCTGCTCCCCATCCAGCCTTGCCACCACCCCAGCCCTGCCCCAGCTCCCCAGGAACAAGCAGGGAAGCACTTACTGCTCTTCTGGGATCCTCTCCACAGCACGCAGTGAGTGGGGGTAGCAGACGTAGCTGGCTAATGCCTGCATCAGGGAGTCCCGGATGTCTGGAGGAATGAGAAGGGGCCAGGTCAGGGAGCACCCGAAGCAAGGAGGGACTGACCTGCACTTACAGAGGGTCTCTGTGCCAGCTGATGGGAAGAGCATGCCTACGCTCAGGCAGCTAAGAAGTAACCCCAGATTTGACATGCAAGTGGTTGAGAACTAAGTCCTGCTCTCAAAAGGGTGTCCTAGGTCATGTATCTAACCCTGGAATAAGCAGGACACACTGGACAAAGGCAGTGCCCAGCCCCTCTTTGTGCGTGGAGAAATCAAGCACTCAACAGATTCAGCAGGTAGATTCCAACAGAGGCGCCAGCAGTGGGACTGGCAGACCAGCAACATTATCACCCCAGAGCAGAGGAGTGCAGCTTCACCTGTGCCCACAATCCTTGAGTCCGCAAAATGCTTGGCCAGGATGGCAGCGAGGCGCATCAGGGTCTCCTCGTAGCCTGCAAAGAGAAGGAGGGAGCAGGGGTCACGCCAGCAGCCTGATGGATGGTCCTGTGGTCCCAGCACTCCTGTGGATGTGGCACAGGTTTTTTTTCCTGCTACAGCTGTCTTTGCAGTTTTGTCTAGTCGTCAAAACAGAGAGCCAGGAAAGCATGTTCATCTCCAACGGAGCCTCTTGCCACAGTCTGCAGAGCCTAAAGGAGTCACTCAGAGAAAGATAAAACCATGCAACTGAGTCGGACGACAAGGGAAAGATGCCTAATGCAGAAGGGGCTGAGCAACACAACACCCTAGATCTACACAAAAAAGCCATGTCCAGCCTGCAGGCCCTGAACCAATCTACTGCTCAATTCTGCTGCTCTCTGAACAGCAGGCATAGCCCCCACCTAATGGATATGAACACTTTAGCTATGTCTTGGTGGAGGAAACAGAAGCTCTTCTTACCTTCAGGGGCTCTGGAAAGCACAGAACAATTTGCTAAGAGCTCACTGGGATCACTTAGTCAGGAAAAGCACCGAACGTGCACAGAGGGAATCCACCTAAACACAGAATCTTGGCATCGAGTGGGCAGTCACCTCCATAGGAATGTATCCAAATCCCAGGGGGATTCGAAAGCACACCAATTCCTGCACTCACGGCACATTTCCCCCTCCCCCAGAGACCAGCAGGCAGTGGCACGCATTAGCGGGGCCATCACAGCTTCCAGCATCCCAGCCCATTCCCAGTGCCTTCTTGGAAAGAAAATCCATCGCTGTCATTCCCTACAGCCAACTCTGTGACAGCTTTGTGCAAGGCACAGCTCCCTGCCTGAGCTCAGCAATGGCCACGGCTCACCAGTGGGACCCACTGGAGGAACAGCACCCAGCACCTGCCCCGCAGCACGCAGACAATGCATTGGTGCAGCACATCCCAACCAGGAAAGGATACAGAAGGGATGGTGCCCAACTCCCACCACTTCGCTGTACGGATGTGGCTTGCTTTAGACTTGATCAGGCCAGAATTAGCCAGGCCTCCCCCTCCCCTTACCTGGCAGTTCCTCCATGCTGTTCACAGGGCTGAAGTAGTTCTTGAGGGCGCTGTAGCTGTTCATAGCCACACTGAGGTAGAACTCTGGCATGAAAGCAAAAAGCGAGCCCGTCCTGTCTCCGTGCTCGATGGTGCGGATGCACACGCGCAGCAGCCAGTATATATCCTGCATCTTCTCCTGGCCAGAGACAACACAACAACCCCTGTTCAGGTTTGTCTGAAAGCTTCTCTTTGGAGAAACAGAAGCGTCAGCACCACAGTTAGACCTCAGAAACATCTCCACGTCTGAGATGTTCCTCAGACCACTGCTCTGGGTTCACTAACCAGATCTGCGCCATTCCATCTTTCCATAGAGCCACAGAAGCGTCAGGTGGAAGGAACAATCAGAGATTGCTACACCAACCTCAAGCTCAGAGCACAACTATCACCAATGTGACACCAGATCAGCTGCAGAATTGTCCCCCTGAGCCTTGAAACCCCACAAAAACTACTCCTTGGTAGGGCATATCTGACCCGATCACAAAGAAGGCGTGCTAGCGTTTATTCCAAGTACACTGGCTGACAGAAGGCAGGCAGTAGCAAACCCAGCATAAATCCGCTGGAAAAAAAGTTGGTCTTTGTGGGAGTTGAATGAGAATAGGCTGAAAGCTCAGAGCAACTCAGATCCTTGCAACAGGCAGCCACAGCCTTTGGGATTCTGTGCCAGCCATTCACCCAGATTCACTGTCCCGAGGAACATCGGCCTCTGGCTTCTCTAAACAAAACTCAGGCGGTCCTAAATTAAAAACAGGAAACTTATGGGCATCTACATAACTTAAGTTACAAAAATCAGCACCAACAAAGCCATAAAAAGAAGAAATATTATTTCATATCCTGCAATGTCAAGAAATATCAAAAAATATCAAAAGCAATGGCAATTTGCACAAAAATAGATGGAGGAGGATTACACATCTAATTAAAAAATTAATATCAGAGGTGCAGATAAGTGATTTCATTTGCTTAGTAGCTTTTCTAAAGTGCATCGCTACCTTGTGTGGGAGCTTTACATGAGTTTGTTCTGTAAATTAAATTAAACTAGTGTAAATCAACTAAATTGACCGAAAGACATCTATCTCAACACTGACAGCTCAGCTCAGCTTTGCTTTCAGGATAAAAAGCAATTGTGCAGACAACACTAAGGTAAAGAAAGCTGCATTTGGTTTTATTATGACTCGATAACCTCAGAATGGCCTCTCAGGTACTTCCAAGCTAGAAGAAAGCCCGCATCAAGGGGATACAAAGATGTGATTACCACAGCGTGATGGACAAATACAGCCTTGTAATAAAATAACCTCAAATGGTCTTCCCACAGGGATGTTTTGAAGGCGGGATTATCTACTTTAAAGCTAAGAGTGTTTTTAAGCTGCAGTGCTCCCTTTCGTCTAACCTTGAGTCCCTCAGCCTGGAACGAACCAGCGATTAATTCTCCCAAGGAAGGAGCAGCATCTCCTGCGCTCTGACATCTCAGCACAGAGCAGGACTTCAGCTCTAGACAGAGCCAGCCTGCCTCTCCATCAGCACCAGCAATGCCCAAAATGCTCATTCGGACATGTCCCTCAATGGCACACAGGTCCCAGGGATGCAGGAGGCCGCTGCGTGGATGTCCCATAGGGAAACAGCAGGGACCGGTGATGGCTGTGGGATGGAGCCCTGAAGGTACAGGCAGCATGCACAAGCTCCTCCGTGCAGCCCCATTCCTCTCCAGAGCACGCTCACTGGGCTCCAGGGGCACATTCCAGCGCCCGAGCCAGCCCGTGACCTGCTCTCCCTGCCGGCCACACAGACCGAGGTGGGAGCGGAGCTGTAACCTTCACTCCAGGATGGTGCTGATTCATCCAGAAAGCTGACACCGCACTCCTGACGGAAGGCAGGCACCAGCAGTTAATATGACAGTAGATCATCTAGAGACATGGATGGAGTTTCTGCACGGGCCATTGCGGTGATCCCTGCCGTGCACGCTGGTAATGCCCCCCCGCCTTTCCAGAGCAGCCCGGGAGGAACAGTTTATTTTTTGGCAAGCAGGGGCTGGGCTAATGCAGCTGGAGAGCTTCTGCAGCGCAGCGCTGTGCCTTGCAACCCTGCTCCAGGAATGAAGGAGGGAGCAAGCAAAGAGTGCGTGAGTCAGGATCTGCCGCTGCTTCTGCCGCTGCAGCTCTGCCAGACATGTTCAGAGGAACTGCCACTCTCACGCTCCCTGCTTCCATCCCAGGACATGGGCAGAGACCCTGCTGCTACTGAGTGTTCAGGGAAACGTGTTTTCTTCCCCGGCACAAAAAAGCTACAAAGGCAGACAGGGCACAGCAATGTGCAAGGGAAGAGAGGAAGAGATCTGTGGAGCACAACAGCACATTCCGCTCATAAGAAAACAGCTCAGAGACTTCATCCTGGAAAATGGTGAACGCAGGGAGGAAGGGACAGCCTGTGCAACAAGTCACTGCAGTACTAAATGCAGAACACTCTCTCTACTTGGGAACCAAGCAAAGAAGGGGAGAACACTTGAACAAAAAAAAAAACCTAGGCTTGGATCCTGCAGATTTCAGGAAGAGCAGCGTTAGTGAGACCCCCCTGTGACGCACAGCACAGCTCGGGGAAGTGGTTCACAGCAGCTGCTATCCTCTAGACATGCCCTGAGAACAGAATCTCCCTGTGATCAGCACCCTTCTGTCTGTGGCGCAGAGGTGTGACGCCCCCAGGGAAAGCTGACAGCGGCACACAGAGCTCAGAACAGACCGGGCTGGACTGGACGGGGCTGTGTCCTCGCCAACACCACGGGACCCAGCCTGGGACAGGAGGGGCTCCAGGCCTGGGAAGGTGTCTCTGGTGCACAAGAGGGGACAAATAAGCCCCACAGATCCTCAGCATCACTTCAACACCAGGGAAAACAACACTTGTGACATGTGAGCCGAGCAGCACAGACAGAGGCACACTCGCTTGGTCCCCTCTGAGCTGCTCGCATTACGCTCCTGCCCACCTTTGAATAAATGGTGACATTTATCCAGGCGAGACGTCGGCTCAGGTGATTGAGCTTCTCGGAGAAGACCTTTTGGCTCTTCAGTAGTTCCTCATGGATGTCTCTCCTCTGAAAAGAGTGCAGAGATGTGAGGGCAGACAGCACTGCCATTTATAGCATCCTTTTTCAGAGATGGACAAACAATGCAAAAGCAAATACCACCTTGGGGCTAGCTAGGGAGTGTTGACAGGACGGAAAGGGGTCAGCGGCCTTTCTGCAGAGGCAGTGGGGAGCAGTGCTATAAAGAGCACTTGTCAGTCCCAGCTGCAGCCCACAAGGCCTGATGCAGATGCTGGTCCAGTGTGGGCAGCAGCCTAGGTTCAGCTGCTACCAAGGATACTTCTTTAATGCATCATCAGATACACTCCATCTCTGGCAGCTGGAATAGGACAGATGTGTCCCAAGTCCAGCATTGGAGGGTCCCCATCGCAGGAGACCAGCTCTGAGGTATCTGCAGCACATGGAGGTTTGCAAGCTGCCACGGTCTGTCTGGGAGAAGCTGAAGCAGTTGTTGCCTCTCTGTTCCTTGAGGCCGTGGTACAATGGACTGACACAGTGTGACCTGTGACTGTCATCGCCAGGTACAGGTTACTACCCCATCCAAGATACTGGGGTCTCCAAGGCTGGAAATCACCCACTGTGCTCCATCCTTTTTGACAGATACTGAGGCTTTACCAGAGAAGGAAGCTGGGAGTCCTGAGACACTTACCCTCTTTGGGCAGCGGCTGATTTTCTCCTCTGTGTCTTTCAGTGCCATGGCATATTCATTCACATCATCGGATACACCAACCATCTGAAAAACAAGCAGATTCCAACAATTAATGAGGGTATTTTTTTCCCTAGATGCATAAGCACGCAAGCAGATCCCCCAAGAGGTTAGGAGGAGAAGGAAAGGGCATACACCATCACTAAAGAAGCAGAAAACAGAGTCAGCGTAGAAGCATGGAGGTGGGGGAAATGAATTCCTGCACAGCACGTGCCACTCACCTTGCCAAGCTGCTGGTGGACACTGAGGTTGTACATCATCACTATCCCATCCAGGACTTCCAGCAGGGAGTTCTCTGTGATGGGCTGGTCTGGCTCCTCTGGGGGTCTGCCCACCAAGAGACCCTCATTCCCATGGCTGCCTTCAACTGCAAACACATCCCCAAGACAGGAGAGAAGTGCTCAGCAAGGCATTTTGGCATCTGCACCTCCCTAATGCCAAAGCCCTGCTGTGCCGCTGTGACCCAGTGCTCCTCCCCAGCCCATGGGACTCACTAGATACACAAACACACCATTCCCACCGCACTGGCTGCACTGGGCTGACCTGCCAGATCTGTTCAGACAGACCCAGGCCATGCACATCCCACCTCCTCAAGCCCTCTACATGCTTCAGCATGCAGTCTGGCCTGCCCCAACAGCAACAGTGCTGCTGTTGCACATGGCATCCTCCGGCTGGTCTGTGTTCAGAGCAAGCATGGCTACAGCTGCCCTTGAACAACCTCCCTGCGGAGTCTTGCCATGCCTGCAGGAAGGCAAGTGCAGCATCTTCGTACAAACAGAGAGTGACAGCATCACCAGTGTCATGTTCAGGATGGCACAGCGGTTAACTGTGGGCTTGGGGGTGTCAGCATGTCCTGAGAATTGGCAGGAGCAATGCTGGTGGTAAATAGACTGCTTTCCTCTTGAGAGTACTGGAAGACACCATTCTCCCAGAGACCACTGGGGCCACGCTAGCACACAGCAGAAGTACTCACTGTCCTCCTCTGTCCGCTGCTCCACACTCAGCGTGCGTACTTTGATCTTCTCCAGGGCACCAAGAGGCCGGCGTGGGTTCATGAGGCTGACGGCCGCCGTGCTGAGGAAGCGGTTGGCACGGCCCAGGGTGGGGGAGCTGAGCCAGCCAGGTCGAGCGAGAGCTCCACCGATGGCCAGGGCGGCAGAGGGACGCTGAGACTGAAAAGAAATTAAGGGAGAAACAGTTCTAGCTGTTTGGCTGCCTGCTGTTCCTCCCTTGCCCCTGCAAGGATGTTGGCATAGATGCACTGTGGCCACTGGAAGGTGAGCAGACACACCTCCTATCATGGCTGGACCAAGAAGCTGCTCTGTCTGCAGTTGCCTTGCACCCTTTCAAATGCAGGCGCCAAAAGCTGCTGTGGAGGAGAGGGGGCATATTCAGATTGGTGGGTAGTCAGAAAGCAGAGCAAAGAAAATTTTGCTGCTCAAACTTGGAGCATCCAGGCCTTGCTGATTTCCAGTGACCCTCATGCAAGTGGAGCTGTTCATCTGGCTGGTTACAGTCCTGGCCCAGACACTGCCTTCCTCTAAAGCAAGGCTTTTCTAGCCAGAGGCTGGGCTGGCTGCCCTGGACCAGGGCACCGCAGGGGAATAACAGCACACAGCTCACCTGTGCTGCTGATGTTGCCGATTCCTCATCTTCATCGAGATCGTCCATAGTCACTGCCTGCAGCTCCGAAGGGTCGATCAGGACATTGGCTTTCACAGCCAGGTCATCTGCACAGAGCACACCGAAGCGGCTGTGAACGCAGGAGTCGCCCTTCGCTCCCTGTGAGGCAGCCCCAAGCTCAGCCTCTTTCCTGCTTCTCGGCAGTGGAGAAGCAGCCAGGGAAGCTGGATGCTGCATCAGAGCAACCTCACCTTCCCCCCAGCTTCCTTACGTGGAATAGGTCTGCTGTTGCTAACACAGCAGAGACCAAGCAGCAATGGGTGCTGCTCACCCAGGACCCATTTCTATTCCTGTTCCTACCAGCAACAAATAGAACAACTGAGGAACTGGGAGACAACCACCAGGGCCAAACCCGACTAGCGTAGGGAACGAAACTCAGGGCCTAAGACCATCTTAAAGCATCCAGCTCTTCAATGCTGTCCTGTGATATGGCTTCAAGTCCCAAGGACCAAGACTCAGACCAGAAGCCATTCTCAGCCTAGGGGAAGGCTGTGCTGATGGCTATGCTCGACAAAACCCGAACAATGTGTCCTCTAGGCCATCACCCTGTCTTTAAAGCCTGCCAGGAAAACCTTGGTAAGAGACCAGAGGAGGTTACATGGTTCTCAAGTTAAATAATCTAATTGCAAACAGCCAGGGACCAACTTGAGACAGGGAAAATGGTCTTCATCTTGCAAACACGCTGGGGAAGGAGAAGAGATCTGAGCCACAGGCAAGTGCCGCGTTAGCCAGAAACCAGAGACAAAACGAGTCTGACCGAACAGCAAGGGCTTTCTAACTCTTCCAAAAGGGAGGTTTTGAAAGTCTACTGCCAGGGTAGCATGCTGCACACAAACACACAGCTGCAGTAGGTACACAGGGCTGCTACTGCTCACCCAGAGTGGTACAGCAAGTAAATCCTGGCCATCCTTCACACCCAGCAGAGCCAGGATGATGGTCGGCGCTTGACAGCTCCCAGCCCTCGGCTGTGGTGCAGCAACAGCACCACACCAGAGGGTATTCCCAGACCAACCCCTTCCCTCCACCAGCCACAAGCCCCATTCAGGGATGTGAACAGTAAACTAATTTAAAGGACGCTCTACCCAAGAGGGATGATGTCTTCTTCAGCGTAATGTGCATCTCATTAAGATTCAAGTTTCCCTTCCTTGAATTTAATCACAATTCATTACCCACAGCTCCCTCCCTGGGATGTCTCTTGGGTGAACTCCAGCCAGGACCTGAATGCAAGTATGGGAAATGAGAGCACTTACCTTTCAGAGTCTTCTTAAGATGAGACAGGAGGCCTCCAAGTCGCTGAAGGTCAAAATAATCCACCTTCCCATTATAGAAGAGTTGAGGAGGGACATAAGCCTCTAATGCAGAGAAGGAGATTTGGTTTTTACACCAGTCCCACACACAGGACCACGCAGATACGTACACCCTCCCAAGACAGACCCCAGGGCCCAGTCTGGACTAACACTTAGTAACAACTTTTGTTGTCATAAAAGCACAAGCCGTTAAGGCAGAGGTGATTTCCAGAACAAAGCAAGCACTGTGGGTGACAAGCGAGTTGAGAGTTTGTG